ATTTTATAAATAATATAAATTGAATTAAGTCAAATTTAGATTTGAATTATAAAACTAAAGTAAAACAAATCATATTTTATTTATAAAACCCAGTTGCATAATTATTATTCAAATTAGAGTTTAAACCATGAAATTCCAGAAATAGTGACATGATAAACATTGTTACTAACACGTAGATTTCGTTGTAATGCATCTAGCGCAACTTGAACAGGTCAAATCAGAGCTAAAACGTAGAAGATATGATTTAAACAAGATTTTCTTTAATAAAATAATAGATTAAATCTAACCACGAATTTTAAAAGTTGAAAACATACTTAATAGTAGTATGAACACGTAGACAATGTAAATACGAACCTAACGCAATTTGAACGGGTCAAATCGGAGTTAAAACAACAAAGTTATAGCTTAAATCAATCTAGTGGCAAAACTGTAAATAACTGAAAACGTATTTTTAAAGTCAACCGAACAAAATACGTTTTTAAAATAAGAAGGCATAATCTGTGAAATACGCAAGGATCGCGGGTTCGATAATAGAAAAGCGCATGGTCTCTTTAGCAAAAATACAGGGACGACGGGTTATATACTTAAAAACTTGGAGGACTCTTTAGTAAATGTGCCAAGCCGAAAGGATAACTTCTAATCTGAGCCGTTGAGCGCGGATCGGGCGGCTGTGATTAGATGGGAGGGAGAGACTGAAGGTGCGACCAACCGGAATAGGACTCCAGATGGCAGCGGCCTTTAACGGCGGCGAGGAGCTCGCCGGCGTGCATGGGAAAGTGCCTACGGGCCATGTTACGACACGGGGAAGGCACCGGGAGCGAGAGCGGAGCACGGCAAACTCACCTAGGAGGTTATCGTCGACGATGAGGCACGGAAGGGGCACGGGGCACGGCGGAGCGGACAGCGACGGCGGCGCTAGGGTTCCACGGCGGTGGCGCGGCTTGAGGCGAGGCGACAGCTTGCGATAAGGGTTGGGAACCGGGCGGTGCGAGCTCGACTACTATTTAAGGGGGCAGGTGGCGTGGAGAACACGATAAACGGCGAGGACGGGGCGGCGACGGACTCTCAGCGGCGCTGTTTGCTCGGAAGAGTTGGAGCCAGGCACGATGCGAGGTAGGAGACACGGCTGACGCGTGGGCCCGTGGTGGCAGCGACTGCGCGCAAGGGAAGAGGAGGCGCGGTGTGGCGCGGCCTACTTGCTGGTGCGGCTTGGGCCGGAGTTGGGCCAAAGGGCGAGCGCGCTAGCCCTACGGGAATAGAGGGGAGAGGGAGAGGCCGAGCGGTGCGGGCCAAAGGTGAGGTGGGCTGCTGCTCGGCACTGGGCCACACAAGAGATCAGAAAAAGAGGCGGCCCGCGTGGGATAGAGTGGGAGAGGAGAGAGTTTTTTTTATATTTTGTTTTCAAAATCAAATTTAATTATGAACCAAATGCAAATCCAAATATAGTTTCAAACATACTTTTCAATGCAAATAGAAATGAGCAATTTTGGTAGACTTTCAAAATAAATTTTACAACTTTTTAAATTCTTTTATTTTTGAATTTTCTTTTCTTTTATTTTAAAGCCATTTCCAAATTCATTTTCAAAAGCAATTTAAACCATTTTGAATCAGAACCACTCAACCAATTAAATCAAATGCACCGGCATGTATACACAACCATGTTGCTACTCCTTATGATGAATTTTAATATAATGAAAAATATATTCTTTTTCCTACATTTCATGAGCACAAAAAATCATAAATTAATCATTTAAACCTATTTTCAAAATTGAAATTTTTAGGGTGTCACAGGGAAACACGCCTCCTTGGATGAGTGTGCTTCGAATGAGAGGGAGGAGGGACGAGGGACGAGGGACGAGGGTTTTGTACTATGTAGAGCTAATAGTAGTGACAGGCTCTGCATCATTGCCGGCTCAAGCCACGAGCATGCAGTGACATATCACTGTCGGTTTAAAAACATAAGCCAGCAGTGATGTGGAGCCTATCACTACCGGCTTGTGGCTTGAGTCAGCAGTGATATGTCACTGCTGATACGTGGCTTCAACCGGTAGTGATAGGGACCATCACTATCGGTTCTTTGGGACCCCAATCATTTATTGATTTTCAAGTTATGAATCGGCATTGAAGTGTTATCGGTGCCGTTTTGAGAGCAACTGGCAGTGATGGGATGGTAGTAAAGGTCATATATGTAGTAGTGTGGTGCGCCGACCCAACACCTACCCCGCTGTTGCCGTCAAACCTGGCCCCATGACCACCTAGACCAACCTAGCCTCTATGCTGGTGGCCACTGCCATCACACTTTTTGCAAACAGCGCGGTAGTCTTCCTGCTCCCTCTTTCTTGTCGCAACCCCCCTTGCACCCTGGTTCAGCATACCACACAAATTAAAACTTCTACGCTAGATAGTTTGACTTTGTCGAGGGCTCCTTGGGCGATGAGCCGTCTCCCTTTGTCTATCGGGTTGTGGTTTTGAGGTATGACGCAAACCTAAAGGCCTCCTCCTACAAGATGGTCTCAAGGCCACAGATGCGCTCCATCGACGTCCAGGCGACAAACACACTAGGAGTACAATCCCTATATCATATCCAGAGTAAGAGCAAACTAAGGTTTTGGTTTTCGCACACCATATGCCTTTGGATCTGCTGCCGTGCTCTGAAAATTAAATTGGTTGTCTCTGAAAATGAAAACACCAGGCACATATATTTTTCACACACATGTATCATACACGCCACTAGAACATACTAACTTCCAACTACAAAACGAGATGGGGATCATGATTTTTTTATATATCTCTTCACCCCAACTTGACCTAGGCTACATGAAAGCTAGCTTTTTTATTGTTATAGGATAAGATTATTATTTCTTTGTACTAGAACACATGTCCACGAGAGGATTCATTAGGAGACGGTCGAATAGAAGTCCTCAATTATGATGCGGACCGCGATCGGGATCCGAACCCAGTGGCTGCCTCCATCGTGCCATGCTAAGCTGCCAAACGTGTAGTCACCCTGAATCCACCGCATCGCCTTGAACACCACCTTGAAACTCTGAACCCTTCTCTCCTTGCTGAACACCAGAACTGATGGCTCGACGGACATCTCCACACCAGGAGGCGGCTGGAAGAATGCTTTGTACACTGCATCAGGCTGGCCAACATTGGTGACAGTGCGCATGACAGTCTCGGATGCCTTGAGATTAGGGATCGCGATCGATGGAAGGTTGAGGTCTGCTACAGATGCCTTAGGAGTCGTGCAGTTGTTGTTGACACCCAGTCCTCCTGCGCATTGGAAGAACCTGAGATAATCTGATGGATCAATGTCATAGATAAGACCTGGATCGTCGGCCTTGCTTGGGTTCACAAACCCTGCACCGTAATCGAAAGGGTCGGCAATTTTACTGGAGTTCCATCTGCTTTTATTGGGAGCCCATTGTTGTCAGTGCTAAGTGCTGCAAGACATGGATGTTTAAGGCAATAATTAGTTACCAATTTGAACACGATTGTTTGGTCCAACAGTATTATCTGTGCACTATGGTTATCTTAAATACATACCAGTTGTCATGAGTGCCGATTTCAGGGCAGCAGGTGACCACTCAGGATGCACTGATTTAAGCAAGGCGACAATCCCAGACACATGAGGGCAAGACATGGATGTTCCAGAAGAAAAAATAGTAGTGAACACCCAGAGCTTTGTAAATAGGTATTTGTGGGGCAGCTGCCAAAATGGTCACCCCAGGTGCAGCTATATCAGGCTGTTGATTGGAATGTATAGCACATTAGTTCAATGTGCAATGTTGACGAAATTATTGCAGACAATTGAATGAAATTAAATATATATAATTAAGCTAATCATGGTTTCATTAATTGACTAAAGTTCCAATTCCACGTATAAATGGCTTCCAACATCGACCAACATGCTTACCTTAAGAACCCCAGGATAGACGGGGCTAGGCCCTCTAGATGAAAACGCTGCTACCTTTGGGGCAGGAACTCCACTTCCAATAGTTGTTTGGGTCAAAGATATCTTTGCTTTAGGAGTATCACTTGTTGTTCTGTTATTTCAGCAAAGGAAAGGAAATGATTAGAAGCAAGGAAACAATATAGCATGAATGCATGCATATACGAATTGCAAGAAAAGGACTTGAATGTTAATACCAACATATGAATCACAGTATCCTATTGGTAGAATGGCGCAACATGATTTTAGGCCATATATATATACTCTCTAATATGAAGTTACAATATTTTTCTTGAGAGTTGGAATTAATCTCTACATACTTCAGGTATTGCAACATCTGGTTGGCGATCTCCAAATCAACAGCAATGAAAGGAATCCTCGTGCTGTAGTATTGCCACTGATCAAGACCATCCATGTTATATTGTGAAAATATGAGCCCTTTCCTCCATTTTTAAGCAGTATTGAAATAATATCAGACAATTTTGGCGGTGGAGACATCTTGCTAGGTGTGATGCAGAAGATGATCTTTCCCTTTACATCTGTGCTGTTTATGTAGGCAGGGTCACACCTGTAGGTTTTAGTAACATAAGTACTACATAGAGGAAGACAAGGTTACAGTGTAAAATATATGTTATGGAAAAACTGAACTTAAATGTAAGTGCGGAACTAAAATGCCTAACAACAAAGATGTTGTTCAGAAAATAGCCTTACGTTTGAGCATCATAAGCTAGAACTTCATAGAAATGATCTGCCCTTCTGTTGCCACAAACAAAGATTGACCCTGTAAGAATAGTAGGTAAAGAAAAATGTGTCTAGTTACTTGTTGAACTTAAATGAATAAATACCAGAAAACATAACATAAATAATAATAACTCCATACTTCCATGTGGAAAAAGACTTGAATTTACATATGCATATATAATGTAATCAATCTAAAGTTTGTCACTACATTTTGCAGTAACATTTCCATCGAAAGGCTATATATATACAAAAGTGTGTATGTTTGTCCCTATCTAGATGTGTAAGAAATTAGAAATTGACGTACCACAAGCCTTTGGTTGTTGCCAAGGGTGATAACAGTGGGAAATAAGCGATCAACAGTTGTTGCTGCAACTGTTAGCAGCCACGGCGACACATTCTCCACCGTCTGGGTGACAGGACCATCGTTTCCAGCTGAGAAAACAACTGTGATGCCATTCGCGACGGCGTGCAATGTGCCAGGATACTCTGATGGCCCCCCAATAGACAGAGATAATACATCAACACCATCGTGAATGGCATCGTCTATGGCTTTCATGATACCCGCGCCACTGCATGAGCCATGAGTTGGAAATGCACCCCAGCAGGCCTTGTACACAGCCAGCCTGGCACGAGGAGCACCACCACGCGCCATGCCGCGCGCTAACCCATTAAAGCTAACGTTGTGGACAAGGTTGCCAGCAGCTGTTGAGGCAGTGTGGGTTCCATGGCCATTGGCATCCCTGGGAGACAAGAACTCACCATCCAGTAGGCTTTTGTCAATGTCATCAGCAGCATACCACCGTGCACCTATGAGCTTTCGATTGCAGTTGTTTGGGCCAAACGAGGCACCAGCTTGGCAAATCCCCTTCCATTTTGGAGGAGGGGGGCCATAACCATCTTCAGCAAAGCTTAACGATTCAGGCCAAATACCTGAAAATGCATTATTATAACTTAGAGAACAGATAAATTAAAATGTTACTCCCTAGTCAGTCAGTCAAAGTCCCATTATTATAGGTACTTCTATGCTTGTCGTAGGTCAAACATACTATGTTAGGTTTGACTTAATTTATCAGATAAAAGTACCAACATCTAGGACACCAAATTAGTATCTTTAGATAAATCATGAAATACTTTTTATAATATACTATTTGGTGTTAAGATATTAACTATTTTTTTATAAAGTTTGTTAATGTTTAAATAGTTTCACCTAAAAGGACAACCCGGCTCAGTTTGCATTTTGAGCTACTGCTTTCGTGATTTAACATGAAACATTTGTAGGCAAGATAATCAACTCAGAGGATATATTAACAGATCATGAGGATAAACAACCTGTTCGGAAGACCGTATCGTATCGTGGATTATTTACTGCTGGCTGGTTTGGTGTGAGAGAAAAACACTGTTCCCGGCTGGAAATTTACGATCGTTTACGAGCAAGCGAACAGGCTGAAAAGAACAGGGGGAAAAAAGTTTGTGGAAGGGAGAATATGCACACTATTAGTATTCCACCTAGCATCTACAATATTTCTTCACAGTCTTTCCACATAAATCATATCTTTCTGTAAAGGGTTTCAAAATCATGTCACAAAAGACTTGACACAAGTTGTACCAGCAAATTGCATATGTAATAACCTGTGTCAATGACACCGACAATGATGTCCTCTCCATTTTTAGCTTTTGTAAGCAATCCATTTGGCTGATTGTAGTCCAGTCTGACAAAGTCCCAGCTTCGAGTTGTATGTGTGCGGTAGAATTGGTTTTTTGTTACACTAACCACGCCTGGCAGAGCTGCAAGAAAGAGCACACATTCATTATGATGATAAGAAAAATCATATGTTGTGGAGTGTTTCTAGTAGAAACAATATAATTACCTGCAATCTTTCTAGATTGTGATTTTGTTAGCAATGCAGAAAATCCGGAGAATCCATGCCTGTAACTATAGATAATTGACTCTAGAGCTTCCTCCTTGCTTCAAAATTATAGGCGGTTCCGTAAGTTAGCTTTTGTAATAAAATACTGAAATTTGTGTATGCAAGCAGCACATTTTCAGTTGGCTGTGTTAAGTACAGGCTCATTAGTGCGCGTGAGATACACTACTACACAAACAATTTTCTTTAAAAAAAGTGTTATAGGCAGTTCCATAGTATGATCGCCCTCTTGGGTCCAGAGCTGTCTAAATGCCCATGACCATTTTCTTTTAAAAGAATGTTACAGATACGCCTATGAATAACTTACAAGTTCAAAAGGGCTTGAGCTTGACATGAATAATTTTTAGTTACCTGCCGACAATGGAAGCAAGCAGGTCGTGGTGTGAAGCAGTGACAAGGTCAACGTCGTCATGCTCTCGCTCACCAAGGTAGATAATGTATATCTGAAATTAGTAATACGTCAGCCCATGTGAATAAAATATATATATAGTTGTTCAAACAACTTGTGTGAATTTTGCTTTCCATTATTCCACATGATATCTCTTTTAATTTACAGTGTTTTTTGCTCCCTTTTGTGAGGAGTGGAAGTGCTGAAACTTTTTATCTGGAATCAAAGACTAGAATGCCATTTTGCCAGTAGTAGCAAGTTGAAAATAATGAAACAAAAAAAAAACTGAAATGGCTTACTTGTTTTGGTTCAGTCTGGAGCCCATTGGAGCATTGCAATTGCAGCACAAAGTGGGTAAGAAATAGAAGCAGCAGTAGCCTCGCTCGTAGCATTGGAAGCTTGGCCATCGCAAGCTGTTGTTGCAGAGAAAGTAGCATCTTGCTTTGTTGCTGCTGAGTTCAATGCACCACCATGTATTTATACCAAGCGATGATAGCTCATCCGCCATCCATGCGGTCTCAGGATAAATCTCAACGCGTGTGACATCACACACAGGAGCAGTTAGAGATGATTTTTTCTGAGAACAACGAAGACCTTGTCTTTGGAAAACAACCACCAACTAGGTCTATCCAATAGACTTCATCATTATCCTCAATCTAATTGATCAATAATTGGTCTCTGCAAACCTCAAGATTGACTGAACTATTAATGACTAAGTCTATTTTTTCTTCGTAAAAAAGAGAGTCTATTTTCACATTCTTGGCAAAGATTAATTAGAAAACTCTCAGTCGACTTGCACGGTTTATGACCCAGTCATTACCTTCCAAGGGAAAATTAGCTAGAAAACTACATGTGCGTAGAAGCAGTCTTACATGGACATGCATTCAGATTATAGAATAACGTGACCATATTATGCTTTGGCATTTTTTTTCTTTTGCAAGGTCAGAAGGTGTGTTTGTCCCTTCTATATATGTGCCTATTAATTGCCAACAATCAATAAATTTGTGCCACAGGTGATGCTGTCACTTCAATTCTTGCGACTTCTTTGACCATGTGTATGTGAAGGCTAGTGATGAGTACATTATTCCTTTTTCCGCGAACATATACCTGAGTTCGTATTTCAATTCATTGAGAGCAAAAGGAGAGTGACGTCCATGCAATGCCTAAACGCGCAAAGTACGCAGCAGGAAATTACATACACTAAAATAAACAAACAAACAACGCACTTGTATATCATGAAAGAAAGCCCGGCCGGTAAAATAAAATAGTTGTTGCTTGATCTTATTCCACGTCTAAGGCCTAAGGGAGCCTTCATGTGATGAGAAGACGTCTGAGGGGCCTCCACTTAAGGGGAGAATGTTGAAGTATAAGTGAAATGGCTTGGGTTGAGCTAACCGGTGAATATTATATCAAAGCTAGAGATCTCGAGTTTGAATCCTGACGAGCGCAACTAAATAAAATAATTACTGCTCGCTTTTATTTCATGTCTAAGATCCAAGGGAGCGTCCACGTGAGGGGAACGAGAAAGTATAAGTAAAATAAATGTCCTGGTCAATACATGCTACTCAATAAAAAAGAGTATTCTATGAGAGAGGTATGCCCATTTCTACCATCTTGACATGGTCTTCGCCATGGTGAGCTTAAATATGTAATTTCATCACTTGTTTTTTAAGTGCTTCGTTATGTCTCGCCAATGTAATCTGTCAATTTGAGTGCCAAACACACACCATGTACTCATGTCCCTTATAACAATGGTAAATAAGGAATCATATCCGGTAGAATCATAACCATAGAATACGACCATAATCGAAATGTATACATTTGTCTCATATACACTGTTGGGATGGTGAGAAGAGATATATTTTACATTCCAGAGGTGCTATTGGAGATACTATTGTTTCTGGTACAAAAGTTCTTATATCATCAATGGGAAATTTGCTCACAAGAAATTTGTCCCCGCCATACTTTCTTCTCCTCTGTTTGTACACTACCACCCCCAAAACTAAGCAAAGAAAGTCCAAAATATAGACCCGAACAAAGAATAAATAGTAATATATATATATATATGAGAAAGTAATATTCCATACGCTAAGTAGACGTATGGACTTTAGTCCGATTGGGAACAAGCTTTAGTCCCGGTTTACTACGAATCCGGGACTAAAGCCTTTAGTTCCGGTTGCCTTGAACCCGGACTAAAGGTCCTCATAGGATAAAAAAATATTGCCTTCCACCTCTGTGCCTCGCGTGTGATTCGAACACAAGACCTCATGCATTGTCTCGCGTCTACCTTTCCACTCCATCTGCACAACACATGTGATAGATGGGATGCTTTCCTTTTGAACTAACCTATCAGAGGACTTTTAGTCCAGGTTCGTACCACCAACCGGGACTAGAAGGACCTTTAGTCCGGATTTATAACACCAACCGGGACTAAAGGGTCTACGTTAGTCCGGGTTGGAGTAATCAACCGGGACTAAAGGGTTAAGGCTCTTTAGTCTGGGTTGTTAACACCAACCGGGACTAATGTAGATCTTTTAGTCTAGGTTGGTGTTACTAAGCGGGACTAAAGGTCCTCCGACGCCCAAAAAATTTAGACCCGAGACTAATGCTCACATTAGTACAGGGTTTAATTCTAGCCGAGACTAATGTGCTGAACCGAAAGTCTTTTCTCTGCTAGTGATAGCTGTAGCAGAGTTCTAAAGAAGACATATTCGTATTTACACCGAAAGTTATAGCTCAAATGTACTCTTCGTTCCTTGGATAGAATGTCAACCCTGCAGACATCACAGGGAAGCACAGTTAGGGCAAATAGTCCGATCATTTCTCTCGAGAGTGATATACAATATCTTGCAGCGTTGAAATTGAAAGTGATGTTTATAGAAAATTTAAAGTACAGATTAAGTTGAATTGTTCAAATCATGTCTGATGAGCTAAGCGGAGACTTTGTTCTTCAGAAGATGTAAGGTAATGGGTACATGGAGATGATAAAGTCATTTGGCTTTACCGATTATCCCTAATTTGATATGCTGATAATTGATCTCTGCTCGCATCAAGATTTACTTGTCGCCATCTCAGTGATCAAGTAAATCTGTAACATTCTTCTCTGTTCTCTCACACAATTAGTCTAGCATTTCCACAATTATCCTAGGACTCAAGAGCAACACGTTTGCACAATAAAAAAAAAGGAAAAACAGAAAAGGAAATTGTAACTCAAGAGCTTAGCTTTAACACCAGAAGGCAAGCGAAGCCCAAATAGATGGCTTCTGGCTTTATATCCAAGCCATAGTATCCTGAACTCTATGGACATTGGAAATACCATGAGTTACCAACTCATTCTGACATCGTCAAGCTCCACAATTGTTGTTCTGCTTAGACAATGGGTCTGAAGGACTTACTGAATGCAGATCAAACTTCGGTTTGCTTCCACATTCCAAAAAGATTCTGCATGTCTGTTGTCATTTAAGGCAAAATAGTTGGGGGCCCTTCAGAAGCATCTGTATCTTTGGCCAACATATCCTAGTAGCTCATTCTGGCTGCACATATTTTACCTTCACCAACTCATCATACCGAGATAATCCAGGCTCAAACAACATCTCCGTGCAGAGCAAGATCATTCAAATTTTTGTGTACACATAATTACAGATGACATGACAAAGCAAGCACTAATCCACACACTAATTTCTTTCGTGCTTAAAACCTAGAGACATGTTTACATGTTGGGGAGAGAGGATGTTAGGATGGGCTTTTCCCACGATAAGGATGCGCGTGGGCGTCCCTGAGGTGTTATGTGCTGCGGCAGCCTAGGTCAACACTGTCAAACCTATTTTCCTCAAAAGATCCGGTATTAGAAGTGAAAGTGCATCTAGATCCATCTAGACAACATGGTTAAGGAACTAACAATATTCATGAGATTTACAGGTGTTTAGTCCCAGGTGGTTTTGGTAATTGAGACAATTAGTAGACTAACCTTATTGCTAAGTATTGTTTAAGCTAGGTTAAGTACTCCACACCAAGATGGTGAGCAAGGCTTAGAGTTGGATGAAGAATGATCAATCGAATTGGAGTAAGTTTACACTTGGAAAATAAGAAAGAGAAAAAATAACCCTATATATAGTAAGGCAAAGGTACAAGATAGAGATTTTGTTTTGCCGGCCAAGATACAACAGAGCATGTGGTTGGATTAAGGATAGATAGCTATACTACTAAGTGGGGAGCTCAAAGTAGCAAACACAGTTATCTAGTGCCACTAGGTGTTGATTTGCATGCATTTGCATTAGAACTAATGACATGTGAGTAGCAAGCGAAAACATTTTAAAAACTCTTTGAAAAATGCTAACTCAAGTGCTTAGATGTTTGGCAAAAAAAAAAAAGGTAGTTGGCAAGCTTGCGAAGAAGGTGATAAGAGCTGTTGGAACACTTTCTGTATTCACAGGAGCTGTCCCGTGCGCCACCGGAGGTGTGCACTGGAGCTCACTAACACTGCGCTGACCTGAGATGAAGTTCAGCTTTGCACCTTCCGTTCCGGTGTGCACCGGATGTGCATCATTGGACATGTCTGGTGCAGGCTGTCAGAGTGCAGGGAAATTCAAACCTAGGCACCGGAGGTGTCCGGTGTGGCACAGGACGTTGCATCAGTGCATTCTACCAGAGAAGATGTAAGTTTGACCCTTTGGCAATTGCACCCATCAGAGCTATTCGGTGTGCACCGGTGATGAGATTCTAACATACAGATATGTTAAGGCTTGGGTCCAATGGTTCCCGAACGAAGAAGACCCTCCGACCGACCCCTTCAGGATCACCCGGGGGCTCGGGGGCTATGCCCATTGGGCATGCTCGCGCGCACCCTCTGGCAAAGAGATCCGGCCGAGCCTAACTCGACCGCAGCCTCCGCCAGGGGCTCGGGGGGCTTCCCCTAGCCTTGGGCTCCCGATCTACGGCACGACCAAGCCCGGTCCTTGGCTCCTGCCCAGCTCACAACGCCAGCCAAGGACCGGGCACAAGAAGACAGGCCCCGAGCTACCGATGCTCGGGGTTGTTCTCGGCGCCGCTCCCCAGGCGCGGCCCTGCCAACTACTCCTCCAACAGGGTCATGTCCGAGACGTGACACAAGAAGACAAAGGCTCCCATGGCCTTCGGGGCTCGTGGGCTTTCGGGCCCGCGCGTTAGCCCCCGGAGCCGACCTCCTCCACCACCAAGAAGACTCTAGAAGGTCTCACACTGGGGAGGCCGGTCCAAGCTGACACCACCTGACACACAAAGTGTCAGGACTGAGCAGCCAGACAACGTCCAAGGCTTCTTTGGGTGCCCTTGAGTATAAGGATCATCAGCTGCTGTACGTAGGGACCGAATTGGCACCACCGAAGGCGAGGCAACCTTAGGATTAGCACCGAGCTAAACCCCTACCAAA